TCTTAATGAAATATATTATTATTATATATTTAAATTATCTTAGCCATCTTATATATTTAAATTATCTTAGCCATCTAGTATCTTATAAACAATTTATATTAACGAAAAATTAGGTTTTTCTAAGAATTAGATTTATATTGGTTTTCTTTTTTCCGTGCAAATGATATAAATGCTCATATCGCACAGTGGGCTAGGAGACCAGAAAAAGTGGCTAAAAATACTAAAAGTACTGCTCCAATTGTATTTAAATTGAATATTCAGGGGTTTTTGAGATCACTGATATTGAATTCAAATTTAAAAATTCAAAATGATGAATCCAAAATGGCGGAATAGAATGTTAAAAAAAATGTCAAACCTCATACCTCATACATAAATGTATTTACTTAAAACTGATGTTTTTATGCGTCTACATATACATCTATATATACAACCAAATTAGTTGAAGAAATAAAATTATTTTTAAAAAATGATGTAAATTATTATGATAAACAATTTGTATAATAAACGCATAATAAAGTAAATAATGAAAACACACACACACACACACACACACACACACACACACACACACACACACACACACACACACACACACACACATATATATATATATATATACATAATTATTATGTACGAATCTGTTATAAATCCGATTACTGTAATGATTATTTAAAGAAATATAAATTATTTAAAATTAAAAGATTTAATTTAAATGTATGCTAAGAATTTTTATAGTATTTTAATTTTAATAATTTTAAAAATTATAGACACATTCTTTTTTTGAATATTTTTTAAAATGTTTTTTAACGTTTATTAAAATTAAATCCAAATAATTATTATTACATAAGAATTTATTTTTTTTGTTGCTTATTGTCAACGTTATGAATTTTCAACTAATTTACATCCTACGGAGAGATAAAGTTTAAGGACGTTCTCCGAAAAAATCCATTTTCTTTAGAATTTTCTTACAGAAACTTACAGAATAAGCTTGTTTTAATGTCCTGAATATATGTGAAACTCAATACTTGGAGCGGGATTAAAAATCAAAATATTCCATTTCAAAGTTGAATATTTGAAAACATTGGAGAATAAATAAATATTACACAAGGAATGCTATTTATGACTTATATTTATGACTTATTTATTTTCGTTTGGGATCTCTATTAATTCTAAGAATTATATTTGCATACTTGCTTGCTCTAAACACGTGTGGCGGGAAGACTGGAAGCGTTGGAGGGGATAAAATTGAGAGGGGCCTGCTTATCGTTGAAATGTTGATGGAGACACGATCACGTGACCATTTGGAAGACTGTGCATTAGAGAATAAATAAATATTACACAGGGAATGCTATTTGCGTCAAAACGATCGACAATTGTAGTCAATTTCTAAATTAGAAAATATATAGACACAGAATTAATAATCGTATTGTTCTGAAATTTTGCATAAATGTACATTTATTTCTTTGGATAATAATAATAACTTTTCTAAATTGAATGCTGCCAATGATTGTTGGCCACTTTTGGCCAGTTTCTGGTGTCTCCTAGCCCACTGTGCACCGGTCCAATTCCGAATTATGAAGTCTGTTCGTATTGCTTGCATTTTTTGCATTCAATTATGGACCGATCGTGAGCGCGCTGATTGTGTTACGAGTGTTAATTAGACCACAGCCTACATTCGAATTAAAAGATAATGACTTATATATAAATTGATATGTTAAAAAAAGAAATATTATTGTATTATATAGACAATATGTTGAAATACGTTTACATGACACTGCGTGATGGAAAAAGAATAAAATCATTAGTAACGCGCATATGATATTAAAGATGTAGTCTCACCTGTGATACATCGCGATCCTGACATTGATAACCATCTAAGTACAGTAACACGTGCAATTATAGCACCAACACTCGCGGAATAATATAATTTTCCTGTGATGCTCTGTATTTTATTATAAAAGAAATATAATTGCAGGTATTTGACGCACTAATTTCTAACTCTGATTTCAGGTCAAACTTACCATGTTTGTGCTGCGTTTGGTTTGAATGCCTAAACACTTATAAGTGTTATGTATATATATGTATATATATGTTTATATATGTATATATATGTATATATATATGTTTTGCAAGCATTACTAAAAATCCTTTATTATTCATGTTCACATTGACAATGTAAATTATAAGCGTTTACAAAAAGTCGTACGTATATAATTAACATATAGTGACCAAGGCAACTTTTTTATAATCTTTCGCAAATATAATTACATATTCTAGGGTAACTCTGGCAAATACGCCGCGCTGGGATTTATGCCGCAGAAGTCAGAAAAATTAGAAGGAGTCGGAGTAATTTTCTTGCTACTATTCTGTTACATGCCTTTATGTTATACTAGTGTTATGATTTCAGCTCCTTACTGTTAATATTAATGAAATTATTGTGAGTTGAATATCATTTTAATCATTTTAAATAACATAAATTATAATCTACATAAAATGATTACTGTAGGACGTGTAAAAGATTTAGTGATTATTTCGTGATACATACATGTAGTGGAATAGTAAAACATATTGTGTAGCGAAATACAAGTGCTTTGCTTTCGTATTCTTTGTTTAGTTTGTTGTCTTATATATCCCTCCTGTTTGGGATATGCGGCATTTTTAGCAAGATGCATAGTGTACAGATTCAGTACACTAAATGCAATAAACGCATTATACAAAAGATGTACCTCATGTCATAACTCTTGTAATATTGGGTTGTCCGAAAAGTTCATGCCGATGTTGAAGGAAAATTGAAACGCAGAAAATTTAAATTTTAGTATACATTTATTAAATTATATAGGTTAGTCGGCACGAACTTTCCGAATAACCCATATATGTAGAAAGATTGTAATTATACTATTATTTATTACTTCATATACATATTTATCATTCTTATTCCTTAATAAAACTTTATAAACACAATTTTATAAGTTATTGTGTCATTATATGTTTTATTTATATGCATTATATGTAAATTTTTCATGAGTCGCACATACCTCTCTTTCCCTTACCCCTTATAAATAACCATATATCTCAGCCTTATAGGATATACGGCAAAAATGCAAGAGTTTCAGAAAGTTTATTTTTAATATAAAAAATAAATATTTCAGATTTTTAATATTTTTTTCATAGTACACTCAGCAAACGAGAAATTATTGAAAAATATTGAAAATTATTCATTAAAGTGAATCAAGTTTTTGAATTTTTTAAATCTGGTTTCTATCCGTAATCCTTGAATCTGTAATTATGGATTAGTTATTTATTTTCTATATCTCACCCAATGTGCATAGAAATGAAACTTGTGACCAATCTGATTGAATCCGTAATTACGTATTGATAATTTACTTTGATATCTTACCCAATGTTCAACGCAATGAACATGCAACTAGAATTTAACGTGCGATATAATTGAAGAATTGTCTATGGGAGATCCACCAACTGTTAATCACCGATCTCGAAAAATGGTCATTGAAAGCACGCACAAAGGTGATATACATAAACCGTTGCCTGTCAAACAAAAACTCTGGTGTGATATAGAGTGTGACATTACGGATCCATGGCGACAAGATAATTTCCTGGTCACGACATGGTTATATCCGGGAATCATCCTGTAACCGTGAATCTATAATGTATGCTCTATATATAGTATTGTATAGCTTGTTGGGGAAGATACGACTCATACATCTATGATCACCTTGGTGCATGCTTTTCTAAGTATGATAAATCACTTTCTCATTCGCAGACTATTGCTTCATTTCTGAATCTATTTATCCACTAGAGTTCACATTATTATGTTTAGCTAGATGTATAGATTCAGTGTATTCAGTATATTCAGTGTATTCAATGTATTCTTTTTCGCAGATTCGAAAACTTAATGTCCAATTTAATTCGTTCTCGTTTGCTGGGAAGAAACGCTGAATGGTTCCTTGCGAATTTCTTAATCTTCTAAGTTTTTTGAGTTCTACTATCCAAATGGTTTTGATAGACATACGAAAAAGTTAAAACAAGCATAGGATTTATTCGAACATTAGATTTCTTTTTATCATGGTCTTTTATGCTCGAGAAACCGAGAGTGAGACAGGGATTTTGATAAGCGTAAGCATCAAATATTGATTATGTGAACGATGAAATAACATTTAATAGATATAAACAGTATAAATCAATCATTTAAGTCTCTTTCTTAAGATCTCTTTCAAAATTATGGATTTTGCTAAATATGCGATAATTAAAGATTAAAATTAATTAATAATTATATTAATATTACTTGTCATATTAAGCATCACATTATTATATATCATTATAATAAGGATAATATAGGATTACATGATTTTTATAATTAATTATGATAAATAGTAAGATAATTTCTAAGTATATAAAATATGTTCGCGTATGTTTTTTTCTCTTATAGTATAATTCATTTGTATTCATATGAAGGAAAAGAAATAATAATGAGAATTCATTTCTAATCAATCAAAAACTTATGTTGACGAAATTATTTTATTTAATACAATTAATGATAATTATGTGCTATAAACCAAGCTTGATCAATAAGAAGTCTGTAGCCAAAGGCTGATAAGAATATATAATATATTGTAATTATGGATATTATCAGCATCGATCCGCCTCAGTGAAACGTATTATAACTTTTTCCGTTTTCGCCAATCTTCGCAGCAGTCAACCGAAAATATCCTTCTTTAGAAGAAATAAAAATTGCAATATGTTATACAATATTTTTTATACAGTTTTTATACTCTATATA